TAAATGCATATGTACATACACAGGTATGTGAGCCTCTGGCTGAGCAGTATATTTTGTAAATATAAGCACTGACCCAGTTACAGAGAGCGTCAGAGTTCTTACCTCCACGAGCACTTCAGATCAGTATTGTCTTTACTTTATTAATAAATGGATCTCTTTTCATTGTAACATAGAGCTGGGGTGGTTCTGTTTGTTTTCCTGAAAAATAATTGCCTTTATTTTCTCTCATTGCCTCCCTGGTTTCACGAGAGAGCAGTTTTATTATAAATATTGTATGGATTTTGTATATTAAGAGAGGAGCTCATTTCAGATTCCTGAAAATAGAGACATTTCACTGTTATTTTTTGAAAGGGCATCTTTGATTTTTTGTTCTTGTTCACTTTTGGATATGTATATAAGTAATATCGATGGTGATATAAAAACTTTTGTTATGTGAAAATATTTAAGTCAGAAAACTGTTAAATAATATTACTTTTTTTTCAAACTGCTTTGTGTATTGTATATTTTTTTAAGGGAAAAAAGCCTTATTTGACTTATCCTTGTGATACTGGACTTATTATATACCCTGAGGTTTTCCAGAATGTCAGCGTGTGTACCTGGCTGTCGTCAGTGTATTCAAAACAATTGTAATTTTGCCAGAGTTTTAAAGGTTCTGCTTTTAATGCACTTTCTTTTATAATTTTGTATTAAAATATTTTAGAAGTGTTGATTAATTCTGGTGAACAAATATCCCCAAAGTTGCAATTATTGGAATTTTACAAATTTTGTTCTTGTTTATTTATTTTGGTTTTGACATTAAATGTCATCTCAGGACGGTCTCTAAAAGGGTTTGTTTAATTCCTAATTGCACAGAAAGCACAGTCCACTGAACTGTGTTGGTGAACTGCCTGTTTAAGCAAAAGGCCTTCCAGGTGAGTCGAAAGCCTACTTTTATTTTGGTTACAGAAAAAGAAAAAAAAAATCTTAACAATAATCCATGTTGTGAGTTTTCTCAATTTTATTAGCAGGCAAACACAAGACATTATTGTATTATCTGGGTTTACTTCCTAATTATAAAAGCTGCTGCTTTGCAAAATATTCCTTGAAAATATACATTTTTATAAAGATATAATGTTACTTAGATCTTGCGTGGAGTACTGGCAGATCTTTATATTTTAGTGGTGGATAAACAGTCTTCTGACGAGAGATTTCTAGAACCTTCTCACAACCAGGATTTTGAGGATAGAGAACTGTGGTTTTAGAAATATCTCATCCTGGCACATCTGTTTTGGAATAACAATAAATAAAAAATGAAGTTAGGAAGCGTGATTAATGCTTTTTCTTTTAAAATGTTGAAGAATATTTGGCACATGAATTAATTTCAGGTTCAGATACTTTTCAACAGAAAAGAGCTTTAATATTTTGCTTTTCCTCTGTGAAGTTCCAACAGTTACAGGTCTATTTGAAGAGCTTCCAAGCTCAAAAATGAGAACATGGCTCCGTGGCAGGCACGCCACCTGCGTTTGCTGCGAGTGGCGTCACTGTCCTCAGCTGTTCTCCTCAGGGGCTGGAGGAGACAGCGTCCTGGTGGTTTAGGGACCTTTGGAAAGTTCCTGCCTTGAACCCGCTTCTGTGGGTTGCAGCACTTAATTAGGCTGAAAGGATGAAACACCTTCCCACAGACCGAACCCTGATGGGTGTAGTTTATACATCAGTACATGGGGGATCCCCTCTGATGGGTGATGCAGACAGTGCAGGGCCACAGAACGGCACGAGATGAAAGCAGAATCGTCCTTCAAAGAGGGAGACTCCGCTGCCCTCTGCCCCACACCGCTGTCCTTTTGCCCTGTTAAGGAAGACCCACGCACGCGCACGCCAGCCTGCGGCCTGTCAGCTCAGCTCTGCAAGCTGCCCCTTGTCCTCTGACCACGTGCTCCCGGGGACCTGGAAAACCTATCAGAATGAGGACTTCTCATTGCTCCTTTTCACGGAGAAATTTCAGTTCCAGCCCATGTCAGCGCTGAACTAGGGAACGCTTGTTTAGGATGACATTTTGTACTCCCCTGTCCATTGTCATGTTTGAGGAAATGCAGATTTGAATTTCACAATGATACGAGTGTTCTCTGACTTCTAAACTCTTACATACCATTTATGTGCAAGAGACACGTTAGTCCAAGATCCAAAAAAGGAGAAGTGCATTTCTGTTCTTCACATGGATTTTCCTCTTTGCAGAAGAATATTCATAACTCACAAGGAAACACATTTTTAACAAAATGATAGCCACATGTTTTTAAGAAAATATGTAAGATATGTGAAACTGCTTTCTGGTTAGTATGTTAGCGATGTCTCATGCCTGCTCTTGGCATATTTTTTCCCCAGGAGTTTATTTCAAAGTCAATACTGTACCCCCCCCACCACCACAAAAAAGTTAATCCAAGGCTTGATCGCTGCTAATTAATATATCCGTTTTCTAAAAATCTATTGTACGGAGTGAAGCCGAGATGAAATTATACAATTGCTATTTCTGAATCTAGGTGTCCTCTCTGTTTGCCGCCTAATCTCTATATAACACAGGTGTTTGGGAATTTTCAGGATTCCAGAAGTGCCTGCATACAGGTTTGGGGCTCCTATGTCTCTACCTTGCTGTAGTGAAAGTTAGCACTTTAAAATCTAGTTGCGTCTTCGTTGTTTGAAAAGTGGGGGCCGTCAGACTCTTGTAGGATTGGATGTCCTGCGTTTCCCCAGGAAAGACAGGTTCTTTGCCTCGGGGAGGCTCCTAAACCCAGTGTCCTGTTTGGTGACTGCTGACCTGATCTGAACTTACCACCTTTCCTCGGCCACACACGGGCACGGATGAGCACGGGGACGCTACGCTCGTTTTTCACAGGAGTGACTAATATTTAAGCACTAAAAAATGAAAACTAAGTGGCAGGAACAATAGGCAGTAATCGTAAAAGATCAATCTTTTCTATGTGTAATGCTTCACAGCATGGAGAATTTTGTATTAAATCAAGATTTGTAATCTATTTGACAAATTCTAAAATGACAGTGATTCATTCTTGATTCACCACTAAAGAGAAGTTTTAATTTTTTTTTTTATTTACAGAAGATTTTTTTTTAATCTTCACAACTGTTTCATGGTCTGTTTATATGTTGGATGATATTTATTTAATTCAATTTTGTATTAGAAATGGGTAGTTATGCCAAAAGCCACTGTGCCGGCCTTAAGAATAATAAAAATAGTTTTTTGTATTATTTGAAAGCTCCTGTATATTTCCTTATTGGGCTTTGGGTGAATTGTAACCGTTTAGAGATGGACTTTTCCTCTACGCACCCTTTTCAGCGTGAGCTAGCTCACAGAGCTGCTGCCTCGGCAGTGAACTCAGATCCCCGGGTTGGAACAGTGTGTGGATGTCTTATTTTCTGTCCTTGAGCGTATTTTACACATTCTCTCTCATTTGTAAGCCATTTGAAACTGGCTTTAAATGAAGTGAAAATCAATCATCGTATCAGAATCCGTTCGTGAGCTGGGCGGGGTATCGGCCTGTCCCAGAAAGACCAATGGAGTTAGCTCATATTACAGTGTCTAGTCCTTTGTAATGTTACATTTTCAAACTTTTGAAAGTTCATAGTTTATAGAGCCATTATCCTGTAGAAATAACAAATTAAGGATCTCTCTCTTCTTAGTTCACTTTATTTCTACCACAGACTGGGGACTCCATACACTTTTGGACTGAAATAGCTAAAGTGATCTGACTGTTCCCTGGGCTTTGCTCAGAGGGAAAGGTAAGAATCTGTCCCCCACTCCTCTCCCCACCCCACCCCCCGCTTGTTTGTCCATAGGGGGATGTCGCTGTACTTGTTTTTAAATATGGTGGGCGGAGGAAGGTTTGTTTTTTATCAGATGATGGGAAATTTGTTCCCTTTACAGCAGATTGCCTCAACTATTGAAAATGCTTTTCCAGATGAATTTTTCCAGAATGCTTGGCTGTGTTACGAAGTGAGTGTTTGTGTTAAACACAAGGCCCCCGGGGCACCGCAGAGCTGAGGCAAGGTCATCCGGGACCCCAGGTCAGCTTAGCCCAGGCACCGACCATTTGTACAACGTAATTATCTTTGCATGATTCTCCAGGTTCCTCAGTCGGAAGGGGTTTGGGTAGAGACGTGAGGAGGAAGGCTGTCGGCATTGGCTTGGCATCTCAGCCACACCCTGGGGGGACCCGCAGAAATGGGCTGGTGTCCTGCTGCTGTCATCCCAGACAGGAGCCTCCCTTGCTACGTTTCACAAATTCAGATCGTTTCTCACAGCTATCACTGAGGCAGAAAAGAACCTGTGGTTTTCTTAAAAACAAAACAAAATGAAAAATGATTTCAGTTGACCTTGAAATAGAATTCTTATAGCCAAATCAACTATGAACAAAAATTTCCCAAGTCACTTATGGCTGTCAGTGCCCCTGCCAGATACAGTGTGGCCAGAAGTGATTTTTCAGAGACCTTCAGTCCCCACCAGCCGGGTGCTCACACTGGTAGGATGATAAAAGGTGCGTGTGCTTTAAAACACCGTCTCACGGTGACTTGAGCAGTCTTTTCCTGTAAGCCGGAACCGATGCCCTGACATGCGCCCGCTGCTTTTCGTCTTGCTCACGTGTACACGTGAGATGAGAGCGTGTCTGCTGGGACAGCTTGTGTCCACACATCCGCCCTGAGACGGGACAATCGCTTCACTGGGTCACATACTAGAGGCCAGAATGACAACAAGACCATGCCGATATCATTAAAACTTTATTATTTGATTTCACTGCTCAAGAACAGAGTGTACTTCCCATGAGCCCCAGCTCACTGCTGGATGTCGTCTCAGCAGCGCCCACTGGGTCTGCATCAGCTCCGGATGCAGAGGGCTCGTGTCCAGCGGTTTGGAGGTTTTGTTTCCGAAATGTTCTTTATGTTTCTCTTATCACTGAGGCTATGTG